TAATGAGTGTGATTATGAGTATGGCAATGGGTGCGATAATGAGTGTGATAATGAACGTGATAGTGTGAGAGTGCAGAACCCCAGTGTGGTAATGAATATGGTAATGAATGTGGTAATGTGTGATAATTAGTATGGTAATAAGTGTGATAATGAGTATGGTAATGAGTGTGATAATGAGTGTGATAGAGTGTGAATGTGATAAAGAGTGTGAGTGTGCGGGACTGAGTGTGGTAATGAGTGTGATAGTAAATATGTCAATAAGTGATTATGGTAATAAGTGTGATAGTGTGAGTGTGCAGGACTGAGTGTGGTAATGAGCATGATAATGAATATGGGAATGAGTGTGATAATGAGTATGGTAATGAGTGTGAGTGTGCAGGACCAAGGGTGGTAATGAGTGTGTGATAATGATAATGAGCATGTGTGTTACTGTGTGACAGCACGAGTGGCAGCGTGTGAGAGTGTGACTGTGTATGTGACAGTGTGTGTGTGATATTGTGTCACAATGAGTGTGAACAGATGTGGGAAAGTGATTGTGTAAGTGACAGTGACAGTGTGAGAGAGAACTGGCAGTGTGTATGTGGGGCAGCGAGTGTGAGAGTGTCTGTGATGGTGTGGGGTGTGTGAGAGTGTGTGTGGCAGTGTGCACGAGTGTGATACTGTCTGTGTGAGTGTGATACCATCCGTGTGAGTGTGATATGGTCTGTGTGAGTGTGATACCGTCCGTGTGAGTGTGATATGGTCTGTGTGAGTGTGATACCATCTGTGTGAGTGTGATATGGTCTGTGTGAGTGTGATGCCATCCGTGTGAGTGTGATAACACCCGTGTGAGTGTGAGCATGTGTAGTACTGGGGTGTGAGATGCTCTGTGTGTGCAGGGGATTGTGAGTGTGAGTGTGCCCGTGTGTGTGTGTGTTGCACACCACCAGTGCACCCTCTCCTCCAGTGTAGCACCTCTGGGTGCCGGGCATGGGAGCTCCTGTAGGAACGTGGGTGTGACCCTTGGAGCCACATCCAGCCTGCATGAATCAGCTGCTCAGCACCTTGAGGGTTTCCTTTACATCCAAGTAACTCCAGAGCCGAGCCGTGGAGATGCCTGCTCCCTGGCTGGGGTGAGGATGCTGGAACACAGCCCTGTGTGCCACAGATCTCTCCAAGGACACAGCGCTGCTCCCTCCCAGCTGCTGCACCTCCATCGCCACCCTTGCAAGAGCTGTGTGTTTATTTCGGGATTCCTTTGATCCTGGAGCATCTTGGAGGGTGCTGCATCACTTCTTCATGCTCTCTTAGAGGTAGGTCAGACCCCACCTGGGTTTTTCCCTTTCCTGGGACCCCCACCAAGACCTCAGCAGCAGTGGTTAAAGAACCACAGAACCAGAGAATCATTTAGGTTCAGAAAGACACTTAAGATCACTATAATTCCTTCTGAACCAGGAAGTGTTCACCAATTCTTATCAAATTATTTGTAACCTCCCTGGACTTTACACCCAGCAGCACTGATTCACCCATGACATGATACACCTGCCCTAAAAGTCTTATAAAATAAAGAACATTATGTTTGGAGTCAATAGTTACAGCAAAAAAAATAACATACAGAACCACTACATACTGTAGGAATAGAGGGATATTATAAAACTCTTCTTCCAGGATTCAACATGTGAGACTCATCTTCACAGACCCTGAATAAAGTTGGTTTTCATCCCAAAATGTACAGTGGCAAGCACATAACCATGACAGCTCCAATGAAAACCCTCTGGAGCTGCATCCCCCCACAGCTCAGCCTTGTATGCAAATGCCCATGGATTTCTCTGCTCCAGGACGGATGAGACTGTCACACACTTGAGTTCAAAATACTCACAAAGTACTAATAATTGCCAGAAGTGATTGATAGCCTGCTTGCAATGTGTCTGCTAAAGCAATAAGTTTCACATTTACAACTCAGGTGCTTGGGATTCCTGTCTCCTGCGGCTGTAATTAGAAACTGGAGAGCAATGCAAAGGGTTTTTTTTCCTAAAAAATAGATAGGGATGCTTCATAAAGCCATGCTGGGAGCAGACTATGTGATCCATGTGGTTGCATGGGTGGACAGGTATGAAATGTCCTATGATCCTAAATAGAAAAATGTTTCAGGGAGATTTGAGAATGGTGAAGAAGGGTTTCTGTCCAGTCTTGCAGACCTTCATGGCATGGCTGGGAGATAAAGGGATGCTCCCAGTGAGGAATCCTGGCTGGGAGAGGATGGGTGAGGCCTCAGGGTGATGCTCCGAGGCTGAAGGTGCTACTGATATGGGCTGCAGGGTGGGGAAGAGCAGAGGTGAATTGGGTGCAGCTCCTGGGTGGAGGGAAGGGCAGTGTGGTGGAGATAAACCAGTCAGGTGGTGGCTGAGCTGTGGGAAGAGTCTTGAATTGCATTGGATTTATTTTTTTTTTTTCGTTTTGAGCAGGGATTCATGATCTGATCTTGCATAAGGGTCCCTGGAGGGTTTTGCCAGGCACAGAGAGTGGCTGAGGTACCTCATCTCAGCAGTACAAGTGCATGGCTGGTCCTCAGTCTCCCTTTTCTCACTCACACCTTTTCATCACTTGTCCCACATTCCATGATGGTCCAACAACCTGAAAGGGGTTAACAGAGCCACGGGCAACATGAATCTGGGGTCTGGTGACCAGCTGAGCCTGTCAGACCCCACTGCACAACTTCCTCCAACATTTCTATCTTGTGAGGGTGACTGCAAAGATCTTCCCCGAGTCTGAAAGGTGAACCTCAATGTCCTGCTGTCCCTAAGGACCTGTGAAAACAAGGGATGCAGACCTCACAGTCCTCACTGCCTGCAAAAATATTTTATATTTTACATTATTTTTACCTTAATAATCCCCAGATTTTGTCCTTTATGCCTTTTTTTTTTTTTCAGCTGGATCCCTTCCTCCCCATGCTGTTCTTTCCTACACCCTTGTCTGCATGCACCCCAAATCAGTATGCAAAGCACTGAGTCCTCCAACAAGGCATCAACTCCTGTCTGATCCATCCACACACTGGGGTAACCAGCCAAATATTTGCCTTCCCCCAGCTCCTGTTCTTGCAGTGGTGCTGGAAGCCTTTTGAATTAATTTCTCTGTGGCTGCTCCCTCTCACACAAGGTCCTACACTAATGTCTACAAAATCTGATGCTTGAGGCTCTGTTAAATTGCCAGGCTTAGCCTGGTGCTCCAGGGAATAGCCTGGCCACTCAGGAAACTGCCTGTCCAAGCTCTGCTGGGATTGCTGCAGCACTTTGAATTCACAGCCCACTCGATTTCAGATTAATTTCCCTGAGCAGACAAACACAAAGTGACAGGAATTAGGAAGAAATTCCTCTGCAGGCAAAGGATAATAGGTGAAATTTCATTTCATTCTCCTCTGCAGCAGCTGCTGCTGGTTCCTGCCAGGGACCCGAAAGACAAATAGGGATGGATCTGGTGTGTGCATTCCCCTCCTGCTGGGTGACTTTGCTGTCCAACCCTGGGATTTACCTGCTGAGAGGGACTTGTTCCTCATCCCTGCTGGTAGTGGGAGATGCCCCATGAGCTCAGCTCAGCTCTCTGTGTTCCACTGCCTGCCTTTTCAGAGGAAATTACAGAATCTTGAACAGTTTATGTTGGAAGGGACCAGCCCAGGTTGTTCCAACCCGCTGCTATGGGCAGGGAGACCTTCCACCATCCCAGGCTGCTCCAAGCCCCACCCAACCTAACCTTGAACACTTCCAGCATCCATATCTTCTCTGGGCAACCTGTGCCAGGGCCTCACCACACTCATCATAAAACATTCCTTCCTTATGTCAATCCTAAATTTACCATTCTCATTTGAAACCCCAGCCCCTTCTCCTGTCATCCTGACCCCAATCAAAAGGCTCTTTCCATCCCTGCCTTTGTTAAATCCAGCCAGGAAACTCTGGAGCCGAGTCCTCTGGTTTGTGTTTCTGTCCTACCTGCTCTGGCCACATTCACCTCACCACTAATGCTAATTAGGAGCAGAACTCATCCCGTTTTGCCTTCTGCCTGTTTTCCCCAGCGGAGATTTCCTTTCTCTTCCCGAATCCAAGCCTCTCCCCGCTGTCGTAAGCTCTTCTCCCTGCAGCTGCGTGCCACCTAGTGCACACTCAGCCGCGCGGCAGCCGACAGGGCCGGCAATCCATCCCTCCGGAGCTTTCCTGGAGCCAAACGAGCCTTTCAAGGTCCCTTCCAACACAAGCTGTTCAATGCAGAGTCACGCTCGGACACGGCTTCTCCATCCCACACGTGTTCCTGCACTGGCAGGCAGCGATGTCCACCCATTTATCTTGTCAGCCTGGCTGTCCCCACGCAGGTCATCACTTCCCGAATCACCCACTTTGGCACAATTTGGTCTCTCTGGAGTGAATCTAAAAGCACTGAGGCTGCAGCAGTCCCATCTCACAACAGCGGTGCTGCAGTAGGAGTGGGATGGATGAATTCCCCAGGGCTGGTAGAGAAGCCAGCAAGTGCTGGTCCCAGTGGACAACTCATAAAAATAAATACACCTATATAAATATTTGCGCATATATATAAATATAACATATATATATATATAACATATATATGGCTGTTGTCCCATAGGATCCTGCTGCCAGCTGAGGTTTCACCATCATAAGTAATGGCAGGCAGAAAATACAGACATACCCTAAAGCTCATGGTCCATAGTGGGTGCCTTCGGTGACAGAGGGGACGCAGCTCCCTGTTTCCCATCCCCTATTCCCCGATGTGATCCGTTCCTGCTCCTCCCCAGCCCTGGATGGCGGCTGGAGCCCATGGCATGGGTCTGCTGCCCTCCTGTCAGCACCGCGTCCTTGGGCTGCTCCTTCCCACCTGCCTGGGGTGGTTTCTGTAGCGCGTCGGGCAGGAAGCAGATTAGGGAGGAACAAAGGGGATTTTGTCTGGGGAGGGGATGGGTACCTCTCCCCGAGCTCCAGCTTGCTGCAGCCCAGAGCAATGCTAAGCCTCTCTGGGGGCTTCCACTGCTCTTTCCTCAGCCCTGCCCTTCCTTCAGTACTTATAAACTGCCAGAAAACACCTTAAAATTAGCTCGTGGTTCCCAAATAGCACAGAGCCGTGCTGGGAGCACAGCTCCAGCTGCACCGAGGCGGGGCTTGATGGCAGGACAGGGAACCAAAATGGTCTTGTACTGCATTTCCATCTTTCCCTTCTTCAAACACAGGCTGGTTTGGGGCTGAGAACTCCCAGGATGCCACATTGGAGGATCCTATCACTGGCTGTGCCCTGGAGTAGCAGGAGAAGCAGAGGAAGGAGGGGAGGCTCCATCCTCCTGTAAATGCAGCATTTTTCATGCCAGTGTGCCCCAAAGTGAAAGCAGCCGCAGGAGCCCCCCAAATACTCGGTGAATTTAGCTCAGCAATCACAAGGGGAATCCTGTCATTCTTTGTACATTGGCTAATGGCTTGAAACAGCAACTGGTGTTCTCAGCCTCTTCTTTTCCTCCTGGCAGCAAAAAGATGCCTTTTGTTTCAGCTTATGGCTTTTTCATATAGCACCAGGCTCTTCTTTACATCCCCAATGCATTTCCTGGTCATGGTATAGCCTGGACAAATGAGTTTATCTTCTCTCCTCTCTGTATTTTCTCAATTAATCAAAACAGGAAATCAGTTTGGATTTTTTGTTTTGTTTTGGGTTTTTTGTTTGTTTGTTTGTTTGTTTGTTTTCCCTGGAGATCTTGTATTTTCTGCAGTTTCATGAGCCACTTGTTTCCCCCAGTTTCTACCCATGGCCAAACTGCTACCAGAAAAGGGGTCTGCTGGAGATGCCACCCACTGCCATAGGAAGCATGCTGCTCATGGCACATGGCAGCTGCTGAGTGGATGTGGGGATGGCCCTGAGTCCTCCAGAAGCTTCTCTCCCATGAGCATCTCTGGAGTGTCCTGGAGTGTCCCTGCCTGACTAAGCAGCAAGACCATCAGGAAGCACAAAAAGAGCTTCTTTTTCTCCTGGCACACAAGAGAACAGCCTTGCTGTCCTGTGGAATTTTATAATTAGCCTTTCTTATGTTGTGGCTGCTCCTTGAATAAGGCTGGCTGTGTTTTCTTTTCCTCAGAGCAGCGTAATCCCCCAGCCTGATACTGCCAAGCCACTCAAAGCACACACAGGAATGATGTAGACATGGAAAAAGGCTGAGATGCTGCTCCATTGCCCAGAGAAACCCTGGATGGGGTGGAGAGCATCTCATCCCTGCATGTCCACATTATGGTCCTGGTCTGCCAAACCTAGATGTGGATTGATGCTGGAGCCGATGATTCCCAGTCCATGGGCCCTGGCAGACAGCCAGGACAGTGGGGAGTTTGTCAAAGTTTAGGCAAAACAGACTTAAAAGGCACCTTTGAAACTTGTGCTCATGATCTGGTTAATTAGAGCTTTGCCGCTACTGGGAAATAAAACTGCCTAATTGCTAATTACTGAATCCCTGCAAGAAAGGAACAGCAGAAGCAGTTGGCAACAGTTGTCGCCAGAACTGGCTTTGTGCAGAGTTAAAATACAAAACCCAGACTTTTTAGGGCATTTAGATGTCTGGGCTTTGCAAAGGAGCAAGTGAAAAATCCAGCAGCAAAAGCCACAAGGCAAATTCTGCCTCCCATGAGAATGAGGGCAGGAATCCTGTGGCTCATAAAATCAACTTGTTCAAAGCCAAAAGCACACCAGGCTCCTAAAATTGCTAGGGAACTTAAGAATTCATATGGCTGGGAAACCCAGTAAGTTTGGTGGTTCCTTTTCTGTGGTATTCAAGGCTGCTGAGACCCAAGAATCTCACATTATCTGGCTTTTACTTGCAATTATGGTTAAAATGGTTTAAAGGCTGTAATAGTTAAAAATTATTAAATATACACAATTCTTTTTAAAATAAATAGATGCCCTGGCCAGGAGCAGAAGAAGACAACATGAATGTATAGAGCAGAAAGTGGTGGAGGTGGATGGGGAAGGTTTCCAGCCACAGGACATCCCTCACCACAGGCTCAGAACACATGGATAGGTCAGGTTCCTCTAATGTCCTCAGCAGAGATGCCTTGAATGGTCAGACCGAAAAAATCCTGTGAAAAGGGACCCCTAAGGGTAATTTCTTGCCTAGGAACAGGTAGGGAAGACCACGTTTTGCCCAAGGAACAGGTCTCCAAGGCCCCCAGGCAGGGAAGGAGGTCAGAACCATCCCCTCCTGCTGCATCCCAGTGCTGGCTCAGGCACCGAGAGAAGTATTTTCAGCCAGATGGTTATTGCTGACTTCCTCTCCAGGTGGGCACTCAGACAGTCGAGGAGGGAGGTGGGAAGGAGCTAAAAAGCCCAAATCCTCTGAAAAAGCTTCTTCCTTCCCCTCGAGGCGTAACCCGGGCTCTGCCAGCACCCAATTTAAGGATGTGTCCCTGCCTGCCTCCCTGAAACCCGAGCCATTCCCTCCCCACCATGTCTCCTTAGCGGTCTTCCCTCTCTTCTCCTCTTTCTGCTTCTTCTTCCTCCTCTTCTCCCTTCTCCTGCTCCCTCTCTTTCTCCTTTGCTTTGGGGATGATCTGTCCCAGGATGGGTTGCAGGGCTGCCATCCTGCTGTAACCCCAGCAGCAGCAGCAGCAACCCCAAAACTGCGAAGGGATGACAGGCTGGAGCTGTTCCGTTGATGGATGAGATCCATTTTCTTCCCCCTTTAAATTTTTTTAAAATTTACTAAGCAAGATCTCACCTAAAGAAAAAAAAAAATCCTGCCTTATCCCAATCCCATTTTACCAGGAATATTAATTTCAATCATTATTTTTGAATGTTTTATAACTAACTAGCCAGCTCCTTTGTTTATTTCAAAAGAGGACGGATATTTCTGGGATTCGATACACCCATCTTTATACTGGAGAGAAAATACCAAACAGGTATGTGGATTTATGATGCTTTTTTTTAGGTCAGGATGGTAATTACAAATAATGATCTGGCAGGGCGGTGGCAGCTGAAAAATTCTGATTTCTCCTGAAGTTGTTTGAATAGTCAAAAAGTGGAAGTAATAAACAGAGAACTGGGATTCACTCCAGCTGTGGCCAAGGGGTACAAAGGGGACCAAAAAGGATGAAAGGACCTGTGGAGTCCCATGTCCAGGTAGGAGGAGGGAGTTTTCACTGAGGGCAAAGGGCTGGCTGGGCACAGTGTATGTGCTGTAGTGTGTTATTTGGGATGAAAGCAGAGATTTTCTGTGCCCCACGTTAAAGCCCTGATCCTCCCCTGTGAGTTTTGTACCATCCCTGGTGGTCAGTCCTTGTGCAGCGTGGGGGTGATGGAGGATTTGCTCCTTCTTCCATCGGGTCCATGGTGGGGGTTGGCTTCACAGGACACCTGTCAGCTTGAAAACCTTGGGGTGAAGGCATTTCCATAAACCCACATTGAACAACACTTTAAATCATAGAATTATCATAAAATCATAGGATGGTTTGGGTTGGAAGGGACCTTAGAGCTCATCCCATTCCACCCCTTTGCCATGGGCAGAACATCTTTCACTATCCCAGGTTTCTCCAAACCCCATCCAACATGGCCTTGGACACTTCCAGGCATGGGGCAGCCACAGCTTCTCTGAGTGATGTTAAAAGGGATGCTGGGTTTTGCTACAGTGCCATGATGACTAATTATGGCTTAAAAGCAGATTTTAATATGTGGGGATTCTGAAAGAGCCCCAACACCCCTGGGTTTAAGGAAGGGGGGTTCAGTTCTCAGCTGAATCTTGAGCGTTGGGGTGAGGATTGAGAAGCAGTTGGAAAAGCACAGACGGAGAAGGAAAGTTGGGGTTTCCCTTTTTGGGGTGAGGATTGAGAAGCAGTTGGGAAAGCACAGACGGAGAAGGAAAGTTGGGGTTTCCCTCTTTGGGGTGAGGATTGAGAAGCAGTTGGAAAAGCACAGACGGAGAATTTGGGGTTTCCCTCTTTGGGGTGAGGATTGAGAAGCAGTTGGGAAGGCACAGACGGAGAAGGAAAGTTGGGGTTTCCCTCTTTGGGGTCAGCCGTGGCACAGCACCGCAGTGGTTAATGCTCGCTGCCACTCTGCGAGGGAGCAGGAACGTGCTGGCTCCGGCACAAAAGCGGCCGGCGATGACAACGTCCCTGCGAGCAGGACGCGATGCCGGGGTTTGGCCGGGACAGGGCGGCGGAGGGGCCATCTGTCAGCCCTGCCCCGCTGGAGAGAGGGGAGGGCCCGTGGGACAAAAGGCGACATTATTCGCCGCTTCAGGAGGGATGAATGGAGTATTGAAAGCCACCACCTCAGCGAGTAGATTGGTTTTCAGCCCCCATCACTGAGCTGTCTGTCCGCTGGTGAGGCTTGGTCAGCAGGAGTCGAGCAGAGATCAGGGAGATGTAACGGGGCTGTGTCCCATCCACACCAGCTCCTTCCTGCACCTCCATCACCTCTTGCTGGTGCACAGAAAACCCTTTGGTCCACCATCATCTCTCCCTAGTGAAGGCAACGAAGTCCAAGCTTTGGTCTGGAGGCTCTGGAGCTGCCCCAGCCCATGGTCTGGAGGAGCCTTGGCTAGGTGGAGAACAGCACATGCTCCTACCTGGGAGCTCTTCTCATGCCACACGGAAAACCAGGAGCAGGAAAAGGCTGGGTGACGGTTTCCATGGGAAGGAGTTAGTCACTGATACACTGAATTTCAATTACCTTTCCCAAGTTTCTGACCACCAGCAGATGCCTGAAGCAGCAGCAGTCATTGTGCATCCCTTCAGGAGTTGACGTGCCCCGTGCGGGCTGAAGGGACTAATTTTAGGGCTCCGCTGAGCTAAGCCTGACAGCCCAGCTTTGGAGCCGGCGTGCGGGAGCATCCTCACGATGGCACTGCTCCCCCAGCGCACGCTGCCGCCAGACCGGCTGCTGGGACAGCGGGGATGTGGGTCTGGGCACCCAGAGGGATCCCGGCCAGCAGCACCAGCACCCGTCCCCCTCCCAGAGAGCCTGCAAGTGACACAGAGCTGGAAATCCACCCCCTCGGCAGTGAGAAGTACATGAGGGGAAAATGGAATCTTAAGATACTGAATCTCTTCCTCATTTTCTGCTGACATTCCCTCTTGCTGAGTTTTACCTCGCTGGTAGGATATGGCCCTTCAGCTTCATCTTGCCACTCAAAAAAAAAAATCGCTTGTTCTCAATGAATCCAGCTGGAATTACTTTTCATGTGTCTTCTAGTCACTGCTCCTGGAAATACTGAGGAGGGGCACGTTCACAGGCCCTTGGTGACCACAGGCTCTCCTGGCCACCACTGCTAACACTGCTGTCTGCATGTTTCAGGGAAGTGACCTCTGGAAATTCACCTGCAGGAGGACTGACAAGCAGCAATGACACTCGATCCCTGTCCAGACACCCGGCACGGCACAAGGAGGCCGGAAAACGATGTGCTGCCTCTCTCCTTGATTCCAGCTACACTCCTTATCCTCCTCGTCCTCCTCAGCCCCACCGGTGAGCTCCTGCCTGGGGCAGTGGGAGGGGTTTTAGGCACTCGTGATCCCTCTCCATCTCTCAGATTTGTGGGCAGATTTTCTCCAGGCACAGGATTATTATGATACCCCCTACAGTGCTGAATGTGCACAGGGACGGAAGGAGCAAATTCAGCTCTTCTGTCCCACTGTGACCTGGCTGTGATGGCAGGCCCAGCATGCAGGACAGGCAGGGGAATGGGGCAGGCAGCTGACAGTACTGGTGACAGAGCAAGTCTGGGCTCCCATGGGAGCAGGCAGCAGGCAGAACCCATGGGGAGATGCTGATGGCCAAGGGATGCTCCTGGAGTTGCTCCCCAGGACCTGTGGACCAGTCCTGCCAAGGAAACGGGTGGAACGAGCACCCATCTCCTGAGAACAGCAGTCTCTACTCACTCCTGGCAGGCACTGTTCCAGCCAGGATGGGAAGCATTTCAATAGACCCGGGAAAAGCCATTCGCACTCTGGAACGCGAGTCCACATGGGTGCTGTGGCAGCGGAGTTATCCCAGTGTGACTCTATCCATGGAATTACAGCCAGGCGGTGGGGAACGCGTTCCTGCCTCAACAAACCCGCGCCAAGGCACAGCCAGCCGGAAAACTGGGAATTCAGATGTAGTCAGACATCCTAATTGAGTTAAATGGGGTTTTAACTTCCCACCCCCTCAGCTGGTGCTTCCCTTCCCCCTCAGGATGCTGTGGCAGCATCCGTGCTCACACTCCGGGTGTGGGGACCTTGTCACAGTCCCCTGCATCGCCTGGTTCTCCTGGTTATCTTCTTTAATGGGCACAGATTAGTCGCTAACGAAGGGCCATTTGTCCTCTCACTTCGTGGTTTTGTTTAGCAGCGGTGTTTACTCCAGTAGTTTCCCGTTTTCTTTTGGCTTTGTGAAGCTGGATCAGAGAAACATGGAGGGCTCTATCTCTTCTCAAAAAGACAGTTCCTTATTATTGTAGACACACCAGGCATATTCTGTTCAGATCTCTCCTGACTTTGCTGGAGGATGCTCTTAAATGAATATTTCAGAGCTTTGATTTTTGACTTAAAGGGAGATGAATATTTATCAATGTCCTTTTTATCCACTGCTTTTTTGGCACTGGAGCGGACTAGGTGTTAAAAATCAATACAAGCCAGGATCAAACACTCTTCCTAGAAACCCTCGTGCCTCCCCATTTTTGGTGCAGGGGTGAGCTGAATTACCTCTACCCTGCTGTATCCTTCCCTGTCCTCTCCTGCAGAGCCTCTCTGCTCCTGTGTTTTTGCCTGTTTAATCCCTCTTGCTGGAACAACAGCATCCCTTTCCATGCCTGGTCCAGCTGAGTAGGGCAGGAGCACAGACCACGCTGCAACTCCCTGGCTGCTGATGTTCATCCCAGCATCCCTGCTAAGTCATGGATACAGCCAGACAGTTACCTTATTCTCCTTTCTCCTGGAACTTCTAGGTTTTTCTTTGACAGCCCTGATTTCTGGCTGACTTAATGGTCTCCCAGGCAACATCCTAGCAAGGAAAAGGGAGGTGGGTTCATCTGCTCCTCTGTCCCCCCAGGCTCACGCTGCTTCTCACGGCGGTGACATCCGCCTCCGGAGCGGCTGGGATTGACCTTCACGTCACTGCTTGTGGGCTGAGCGTGAAGCAAGACAGGGCTGGTCTGAGGCAGTGGGAGGAAAAGAGGCCACAGAGGCACCAGAGGTGTTGATCAGCCCTTGGGTGCTGTAATTAGCATGGAGGCATCATAGAATCATGGAATGGTTTGGGTTGGAAAGTGACTTTAAAATTTATCCCGTTCCAAGGTCACTGCCATGAGCAGTGACACCTTTCACTAGGTTTGGAAGGATTTTGGAAGGTGTCACCCACAGGAGAGGGTTGTGCAGCCAGAGCCTCAAGCCCAGGAGACCTCAGATGCCCAAGGAGATCTGTGCTGGGCTCCAGCATTGGACAAGTGCTTGTGGACTGGGGTGTCTATGAGATCCAGGCACCCAACCCCATCCACCATCCCCCAGCGCATCATGATCATGTTGCTGTGACTTCCTGGACAAGCTGGAGCCCACAGTGACAGAGGGAGGATCCCACATCACTTAGCAGAGAGATTTTGTGCCCAAATAATGCCCAGCAGTGACAGGGGGTTCAAGAGATGAGGACATATCCTGCATCCTTCAAGTGTTCACCTCCTCTGGAGGAGGTTTCCCTCCCTCTGGATGGGGTTCACCCCCTAAGGTGGCTTCACCCCATCAGTGGGTGTGTTGGTACCTGCATGTAGGCATGGAGCTTCCAAAAAGTGGATTTTGTTGGGGAAATGAAATAAAAAAAAATCAATTAAAATGCACACAAGTTGCAGCATCTTCCATCAGGAGATCTCCAGTGGGTTTCTCAAGCTGGGCAGGATTGATTTTCTTAGTTCCCATCTCACCACCCAAGTTTTCCATGGGGGTGGTGGGGCAGGAGGATGCAGGAGCTGCCCAGGGCCCACAGCAAGGCAGCAATGGAGCCAGGGATGGACAAAAAGGTCCTCAAGACCTGGCCCAAGACAGGATCCACCTGGAGTGGCTTCTGCTAGCCATTGGGCTCATTAGGGTCACACATGTCACCTTGTGTTTCACAGTCCCACCAGAGTCACAGCTGCTCATAGCTGCCTCAGTTGCCCTACCTGTGAAGTAGATGAAGTGATGCCCTGGGGAAGGGTTTTCATTTTCCCCCACACAAACTCCAGGACTTTGCAGGAAAGGGAAAGGTCCAAGGGCTGCTGGATCCTGCCAGTCTCCACCATCCCCATCCCATCCCTGCTGCCCTCACTCTCCAAGCTGCACCTCTTCCTCTCTCAGGAGAGCTTATCCCTCCTTTTCTCCCTTGCAGGCACCACCTCTGAGCCTGAGATGTTGCCATTCCCAGGTGAGATTCTTCTCTGAAAATCACTTTTGTCCAGGAAGTCTTTTAGTTGAAAAATGCATTTTTAGATAAAAGAAGAGATTTGGGGAATTGAAAAAAGGAAAGATATTGGTTTGGAAAAAATAGCAGCAAGAAAAAGCTAAACTTCTTTTACAGAAAGAAAATAAAGATTCTTTATTATCCCTATTCCTCTAATTATCCTGAGAGGAGAATTTTGCCACCTCCTGCTGAGTCCCTGTCCCTGTGCCATGCATCACACACAAATAAATAATTTCCTTAATGTGGTAGACCCCGGGCGCTTCCAGACCTGCTCCCCATTGCCAGCAGCGAGAGATCATCTCCATACCACCAGCTCCCATGTGGGACCAGCTCTGGATGCATTCCTTGAGGCTAATAAGAATTTGCTAATTGCATCTTGTCACTTGTCACCTAAGTCAACATGTGGTGCCATGTGTCTGCTTTTCCCTTCACCCTTGGGTTTCTGTCCATTAGCAGGTGAGATGATGGGAGCATCACAGAGCCACAGAATGGTTTGGGTTGGAAGAGACCTTAAAAACCATCTCATTCCACCCCTGCCATGGGCAGGGACACCTTCCACTAGACCAGGCTGTCCAAAGCCCCATCCAGCCTGACCTTGGTGATGGTGCATCTCATTCCTGGACTGAGATGGGCTGTGTCTCCACAGCCACTGCTGCCAGCAGATGACGGGGAGCCCGTGTCCCACCAGCAGGTGGGCAGCACCAAGCCAACAACTGCACTGTGCTACAGAGAAGGGGCAGGATTTTATCTAAGGAGTAGGAGTTTGACATAGATTTGCTCCCCATGGCCCGTTGCCTGCTGAGGGACCTCTCTGTTGCCATCCTCCCAGAGATCCGTCTCGCCAACGGGCCCAGCCGGTGCCAGGGGCGAGTGGAGATCCTCTACAACGGCTCCTGGGGGACAGTCTGTGACGACGACTGGGACATCGTGGATGCCAACGTGGTGTGTCGCCAGCTGGGCTGTGGCCATGCCATCACCCTCCCAGCCGCCATGACCTTCGGTCAGGGGAGTGGGCCCATCTTCCTGGACAACGTGGACTGCAAGGGCTCGGAGGCAGCCCTGAGCGAGTGCTGGAGCCATGGCTGGGGCATCCACAACTGCTACCACTACGAGGACGTGGCTGTTGTGTGCAACGGTAACGAGGTTGGGTTCCTTGGGGGCAAAGACAGCATGCCCCCACTCCTGTGGAGTGCAAGACTTGGGGGTTGCAGGGGCCTTGGTAGAGCCCAGGAGTCTTATTTCAGAGGCTGGCTCTCTGACCTGGGTTAGCCAAATATCCTCTGCATCCTCCTCTCACCCCTCTCCTCAATCCAGGTCACCTCCCAGCTCCATGGGCTGGTGCTCCATAAGGTGACCAGCCTGTTTTGTGTTCCTTGTCACTCCCAGATCAGGACTTTGCGCCCTCTCCAGCATGATCCCTGGGGAAAGAGCACATGCCTACCCACGCTCCTGCCTCTGAGTCAGTTGCTGCCCAGCTGCTCTTTCCCCTTTTGACTTGTGTTTCTTTAAATTGCTGAGCTTTTCAGTAGGAGATGTTCCTAAAGGTGAGAAAAGCAGCGGAAAGTGTTTGAACTTGGCAAGTGAAAGTGGAACGGCTCCATGACGGCCCTTATGTACCCCACACACGTTCCTCCCTCGCTGTGCAAGGTTTGCTCATCAGCCAGGCATCAGTGAGCTGTGAAAGTGAGGCTGTGCAGACCTGGAGCAGCTGTTCCGTGAATCCCCACGTCCTGCAGAAGCAGGGCTTGGAAAAGGAGGGATGGAAAGGCAGGGATGCTGGGTTGGCTGGTAGGTTGTACCGACAGCATCCAGAGAACAGAGGTTGTGGATTGAACAGGAAACTAAATAATGGCATTGTTGGAGAGGAGAGGTGGAAGGAGTGAGAAAGGTGGTGGGGAGCTGGGTCTGAGGGCAGAAGAGAAGCTGGAGACATTGGCAGGAAGCTCTGGTGCAGCTGCAAACCCCTCTATTTTCACCTGGGGCTGGTTTGGTGCAGACCCTCTTGGAGCAGTGGGGAGGGAGGGATCCCTCCAGCTTTGAGGTGGAGAAGCAGCAGGTGCCACCTCTCCGCTTCCCTTTGCAGAGTTCTCACCCACGCAAGTCAGCGAAGGACCGACCACCAGGACCCTCACAGCCTCAGTACAGGATGGGGAAAGTAAGATGCTCAGCCATCACTGCAGGGAGGACATCCTGCCTCAGGGCAGTGTCCCCTACTGTCACCTGCTGTCCCTCTTGAAGCCTCTCAACCCTCCAGTCCTAAGATGCAGACCCCCAAACCCCATCATTGGCCATGGCCACACCCTATCCCAGAAGTTCCCAAGGTTCCCAAGCCCCATTGCTCTAAAGCTTCATTCCTTCCTTCTCTTTCTCACTCATTTCCTTAGCCATTACGGGCACAGCAAGGTCTGGGCATGGTGGCATCTTTGTGCCACGTGCAGGGACACCACATCCTTCTCACCTCATGCTGCCACCCTCCAGGTGACGGCAGCATCCGCCTGGTGAGCGGGCCCGACACCTGCCAGGGCCGGGTGGAGATCTTCTACCGTGGGAACTGGGGCACGGTCTGCGACGACGACTGGGGCCTGAGCGATGCCAGCGTGGTCTGCAAGCAGCTGGGCTGTGGGCAAGCCCTGGATTACAAGAGCAATGCCTATTTTGGCTATGGAACAGGACGTATCCTCCTGGACAACGTCAACTGCGATGGCAGTGAGCCTTTCCTGTCTGCCTGCTACAGCCTCGGCTGGGGCATCCATAACTGCGGCCACCACGAGGATGCTGGGGTCATCTGTGCAGGTACCAGGCAGGGCACTGCCCTCAGGGTGGGGAAAAACCCAGGGACATCCTGTTCTTTAAGCAGAAATGTCTCAGAGAGATGCTGAGATGCCCAAGGCCGGGCAGGGACTGGGCTCTGCACTGCAGGAGCATTCTTGTTCTTTATCCGCCCTCATCCTGGTACTCTGGAGTAGCAGCCCCACGCCAAGAGCCCGGGGCACAGCCAGGGTGGTGATTAGCAGGGGAAATGCATCTGCCATCCTGCCACTTCCCTCTGCCATTTCCCTGCTCTGCTGGCTGGAGAACAAACTGCCCACGTCCGGAAGGAGGGAGCGGCTGCCAGGGGCCAGGCACCGTGCCAGGCCCAGCCTGCCTCCCCTTCCCCTCCTGAAATGATGTATTCCTGCCATTCTCCACTGATTACTGTTTATAATCTTAATAATCCCCCTGAATTCCCTCATTACCATGGCTAATGACAGGAGCAGTAAGTTGCCAGTGCATTCCCTTTCCCACTATTAATGGACAAAGGGGATGATGTAGGACAAAAGGGACAATTTTTTCAGGCTGGTTCTTCCTAAACATCCCCATCCCCCCTGGCACCTCCTCTGGGCACAGAGTTGATGGCACCATCACGCCCAGACCTTGCTCACGTGGACAGAGGATAATGAAGCATAAATGGTAATGAATCCTGATGATAAATCTCCCAGGTGTCACCTCTATCCTTCTGTGTCACCACAGGACTGGACACATCCACCATCACATCATTCACCACCTCGGTGGCCCTGGACTCTGAGGAGACACTCACAGCCACGGCCACAGGTAGGATGTTAGTAGTCACTCATCTGAGGGAGGAAGCTGTGCCCTCTGTGTCCTCTTGTGACCCAGCCTGGCCCCCGGGGTTCTGCCATGCGTGGGTGATGCTCGAGGGGTGACACTGCCCATGGCAGGGTCTTGCCAGGGGGCAGCCATGGTGCTGGTGGTCACTGGCACCAACTGCAACAGGGGCAGAGGATGCTGGATCTGGACCCCTCAATGCCCACATGTCTCCATGCTTGTCCCAGCAGTGACAGACAGCAGGGACCAGCCCTCCCAGGCCACTGAGGTGGTCACCACCACACTCCTGACCATCGAGCAGGAAAGTAAGTATGCAGCTGCTGCTAGTCCTGCCTGGGGCTCCATGTCCCTGTAGGAGTCACTCCACATCCCCAGTGCTCACCCCATGCCCCCAGGGCTCCTTCTATGTCCCCAAAGGTCACCTCATATTCCAAGTGCTCAATCCATGCCCCAGGAATTACCTCACATCCCCAGGGCTTACATTGCATCCCTGGGATTTACTCCATGCTCACAGGTGCTCAGCCCATAACACTCAAGGGTTCATCCTACATCTCCAGGGATTGCTTCATGCTGACAGTGCTCACCCCATGCTGCTTGGGAATCACCCCATGTACCCAGTGTCACCCACATCACCAGGACTCACTCACCCTGTGTCCCCAGGGGCTCAGCTGGCATCCCCACGGTCACACCATGCTCTCCAGATGCTCCCCCATAACCCAGAGACTCACCCCACGCCCAAAGGGGTTTGCCCCACATCCCCAGGGAGTTGCACCCATGCCCCCAGGGGTTACCCCAGAAACCGGGGGCTCACCCCACACCCTTGGAGGGACAGCAGGGGCCACCGGACCCCCTGTGGAGCCCTGGTCCCCTCGGCGTCGTGCCACGCAGGTGGCGGCTTGCGGCTGGCGAACGGGAACGGGAGCTGCCGCGGGCGGGTGGAGGTGCGGCACCGCGGCACCTGGGGCACCGTCTGCGACGACGACTGGGACTTCCCCGACGCCCAGGTGGTCTGCCGGCAGCTGGGCTGCGGCACCGCCCTCGCCGCCACCGTGCTCGGCTCCTTCGGCTACGGCAGCGGGCCCGTGCTGCTGGACAACGTGGGCTGCGGCGGCGGCGAGGCGCGCCTGGCCGACTGCTTCCACCTGGGCTGGGGACAGCACAACTGCGGCCACCACGAGGACGCCGGGGTCATCTGCCGAGGTGACAGTGGGAGCTGCGAGAAGGGGGTCTGCGGGTCTCCGGTGAAGCCCAGCTCAGTGGGAAAGTCAATGAGAGAATGGATGTAGGGAGGATTTCGGCCACGCTCAGGCTGGCTGTGGGAAATGGGGTCCTCCAAATGGGGCTGGGGTGAAGAATGAGCCCCCACACCCCAGGGTTTCTCCTGCACGTGGGGACAGCAGTCAGTGCCATGGTGATGGCTGAAATGTGGCACCCCTGTGGTCCCCATTTGTGCACAGTGGCTGCATATCTCACCCCATTATCCTGCAGCCATTCCCAGCTATCCCACACCACTGCTGGGGGGCTCTGGCCCCACCCTGTCCCTTGAGTCACTTTTCCCACCTCTCCTCCACTGCACCAGGTGCTGATGACACTGAAGACCATTTCCAAGAGGCCACTGCTACAACCACCACATTGGCCCCAACTCGTCCCAAGGAGGGTAGGTACTGGGGTGTCACCTGGGGACACAGTGCCAGCCCTGGCTCAAGCAGAGGCACAAGATCTGTCAGTGCCTGGAGCAGCCCATGGGAGGGGGAAAAACTGATGACACTGTTAAGTCACAGCCTCTCCTGGTGCCCCCAAGGCTAGTTCAGGCAGAGGTGATGGACCATTGAATGATGGACCTCAGGGTGAAGAGAGGAGGTGATGGACCAAAGTGGCAGAGCTGGAAACAAAGTATTGTTCCTCCAACTTAACATTCACCACAGTACTCTGAGGGTCACCCCCAGCTCTGGCAGGTGGTCACCCCCACTCCTGGCAGTGCAAAGGCAGTGGGGGAGCTCTGGGCTGACCCCAGGGCAGGCAGGGAGAGTGGAACACAGCACTGGGGTGGGCATGGGCAGGGGCTGCCTCACCCCTTTCCCTCCCCAGGCTCCTTGCGCCTGGTGAACGGCAGCCACCGCTGCGAGGGGCGCGTGGAGATGTTCTACCTGTCCCAGTGGGGCACGGTGTGCGACGACGCCTGGGACCTGCGCGATGCCAAGGTGGTGTGCAGGCAGCTGGGCTGTGGGCACGCCCTGGCAGCCTGGGGGGAGGCACGCTACGGCCAAGGCACCGGCTACATCTTCCTCGACAACCTCAAGTGCAAGGGCCACGAGCCCTCGCTGCTGCGCTGCTCCCACATCCGCTGGGACGTCCACAACTGCGACCACTCCGAGGATGCCGGTGCTGTCTGTGACATCCTATGACCCTCCCGCAGGTAAGGGGGGACAGGGATGCTGGAGGGAGTTGGTGGCAATGCCACAGAGAGGGGTTGAACCCTTGCTGATGGTCTGGACACTGCACTGGCCCTGTGAATGTTTGGGCTCTGAGGATGGGAGGAGTTGGGTGAGGACTGGGTTCTCCTCAGCTCCTGAAATAGTGGCTGAAGAAAAACACCCTCCCCCCCACCCCCAGACTGCTCCTTGGAAAAACAAAAATGCTTCTGGTGTGAAATCTGGTTGGTTTCAGCCATTTCTTTTAAGAGATGAGGAAAGAAAAATGGATTTTCTGCTGTGAAAATGATGTTAAATTATACTCAGAAAATGTAAAAAGGAGGCTGAAATCACACCAGGATGCTCCAGTGGCTCTGCAGTGAGTTACTGTTGTTCTGCAATTTGCTTTGCAAGCCCTCCAGCAATCCCAATACCAGCTTTTTATTCCCATTTTGGCATCAGAAATACCAATTCCTCCCCCATTCCCATGCAGCAGAAATGCAGGCGTTGGATCTCATGCCATCTGCAATCCTTGTGCCTATTTCACCTGTTCCTTCTGCAAACACTGTGGGGTTTAGGAGAGCTCAGATGAGATTTTCCTTCCTGGGGGGCTTCAGCACAGCCAGTCCATGCCCAAAAAATCTCCTGGGGAGTGGGAAAGGATGGGGATACCCTGCAGTCCCCCCATCCTTCTCCATCCTGTGCCACACAGACGTGCTGGCTTTGGCTGCTCTGTCCCAAAAGCTCCATGCTCCTGCTCCCAGAGCAGGCAGGGAGCTGGCAGACAGGACACAAGCAGATGGAAAACCATAGGGAAGACCCCAAATCCCTTCCCAGAGCAAAGGAAAGGACCCAGCAGCCTGCTCCTTCCCCAGTGCCCTGCCTTTGGGGTATAAAAGCTGTTTTCCTCCCAGCTCAGGTGGAAAGACCCAGCCTGCAGCACCATCACCTTCGCCACCAAGTGTTTGATTCCTACTGGAACATTGGGAAAATGACTCCCCTGTTCTCATGGATGGGGTTCAAGGGTGGGGAAGGGCTCATACAGTGGCACAGAGCTCACTTCTCTGTTTGTGCAATTCATTTGTTGATAAGACACTGCATATTCCTGGGCTGTTTTTTTTTCATTTTCCAATTTTTTTTTCTTATATGTGTGTGGGTTTGTTTTTGTGAATACATAAAAGCCCTTTGAAAGTGCTCTGAGAGCTGACTTGTTTTCCTGTCATCCCCTCAAATCCCTGGGTAAAAGCAAACACCTGGAGAAGAGCCCCAAACCTGGAGGAGAGAGCTCAGTTCTTGGTGCCAAAAATTGACCCAAATCCCTGGCTTAAAATGCTCAAGCAGCCTTTAATTCCCACCCAGCTGAGAGCTCAGCTTGGACCTTTCTCCACCCCAGCTCTGGGATACAACCCTGAAGCCCACCAGGCTCAGGGGTTGAGGCTGGATCCAGCTTTGAGTTTGTTCCCAGTGGGATTTGACAGTCACGTGAACTGTGGGATGGCCCTGACCCCATAGTCAGGCTCCTGTTGGCTCCTCTTCCACTCCCCATGGACAGGCTTTTTCAGCACTTTGATCCCAGTCCAGATCTCCATCAGTGAGGAAACTGAGGCACAGAAGCATCTTCCAGGCAGGCTGTGGCAGCACAGCTGGACAAGGGCCTGGGAGAGGGCAGGGAGGTGGTGTGGGAACAAAATCCTCCTTTCCCTGTGCTCCCAGCTCCTGCATGCTCCACTGCCCCCTCACTTCCCGTCTTGCCTCCTGCCTGCAGGACAGCTGGGCAATGCTTGGGTCCTGCTGGGAGCAGGAGGGGGACAGAGCTGTCCCCAGCAGCTCCCAGGCCATCCCCACAGCCCACACCAGCTGGGGATGGCTCAGAGGGTGCTGTGAGTTCCTCCAGCTTTGCCGTCCCCTCCCTGTGCCTATGGGAGATGGGAGAGAGGCTGGTGGCCAGGAGCTGCTCTGGAAGCTGCTGCCTCTTGGGGTGTCACAGGGAGGAAGATAAGAAAGGCTGGATAGGTTTTCCTTGTTTTTCTTGGGGCCTATGCCTTGAGCTGGCAAAGCTGGGCTGTGTTTTGGTTTTACTTCGCACCCTGCTCTTCTTGGCTTTGAGCTGGGAAGAACAACTCCTGGTATCCCAGAATTTGTCCCTTTCACAGCCTACAATCCGGCAAGCAAAGGGTTTCCAGCCAGGAAGGGCAGCAGCTGCCTCCCTTTCTTCCAGCCTTTTCTTCTGCAGCCAGCTTGGGATGGGCTGAGATCCACAGGGATCCCCTCAGACACTCCACAGCCAAGCTGGATATCATCTCCTGTTCCTCTGGGAGCAGGGAATGGCAGGCAGAGTAGGAGCAGAGTACCAGCGAGAGGATGCCCTGGGGCAAGGAACAGGGCATGGAGGGTGCCCTGGTTCTGCAGCAAGGTGCAGCAGCACAAGGAATGCTGTGGAGCAGGGCAGCAGCACAGAGGATGCTCTGAAGCTCAGTAGCAGCACAGGGAATGCTCTGAAGCTCAGTAGCAGCACAGGGGATGCTCTGGAGCTCGGTAGCAGCAAAAGGAATGCTGTGGATCAGGGCAGCAGCACAGGGAATGCTCTGGAGCAGGGCAGCAGCACAGGGAATGCTCTGGAGCTCAGTACCAGCGCGGGAGGTGCCAAGGGTGTGGGAGCATCCCACCACGGGACCACAGCCAGGCTGCAGCGGCTGCGTGGGAGCCGGGATAAGCCGAGCTCCTGCCCAGTTCCCATCCTCCTGCCGACGTCAGCTGTTTCCCGGCGCCCAGAGCAGCTGCAGCTCCACACTGGTCGATGTCATCGATTAGTTCCTCTCCCCATCCTTGGAGAGGGGATGGTGAGGGGGGTAGCAGGGAGGAGAGAATAAATATTTCAGCAGGTCCAGGCAAAAGCTGGGGTTATTTTGAGGCTGGGATTTATGGGCTATTAGGAATAAGGTATGAGTCTGTGCTGGGAGAAGAGACCCATTAATCCAGGCTGAAGGAGCACAAATGAGCAAGGGGAAATGGAGGAGGCTTTAATTATTTTGCCACGTTCAGGAATAATAAATTGGCCTCTGGCTGGGGGTTGGGGTGAGGTTCAGGAGCTCTGCTGCCCGGGAACTGGGGCAGGTGAGAGGACACTCGTGATTAAATCCCCCCAGCTGTGCTGCAAGGGAGGGGCAATCCATTCTGGGACCAGTATGAGTCCAGTACAAGCAGTGCTTCTGGCTGGGACGTGCTGGAGGATGCCCTGCTTGTGGGGGGAGGCTGCAGACTGCAGGGACGGCAGGAGGGGCCCGTGGGTCAGTGCCCGGTCCCAGGGGTGGCCTTCCCGGGCTGGGCCAGCCGTGCCACCGCCGTGCCCCGTTAAGGCAATCCCGTGTGTGCCTGTAACGGAGGAGCTGTGCGCCGGCAGCCCCGGGCCGGGAGCATCCCTGGCTCTGCTGCTCCCTGCACCACCTGGGTGACCTTGGGCTCTGCTCTGTTCTCCAGCTCACTGTGCCCTCCTTGCTGCCTCTGCATCCCCCCACGTGCCTCAGTTTCCCTGGGGGACACGGGGAGGGTGGTCCTGGCTCACCCCTTCACACCCTCGGGGAGCTGCAGGGACGCACGTAGCCTGGCTGGAGGGGCATTCCTCACCCCGTGGGGACACAGAGATTTGTCCCCTCGGGGCAGCCTGCCCCAGCCCTACAACCAGAGGTGCTGGGAACGCGGACACCCACGCGGCAGGGATGCAGAGCATCCATCCTTGAACCACCTCCTCCTCGGAGGGGATGAACGAGGAGCTGACCTCCCTGCGGCATCCCTGCGGCACTGCCAGCCTCGCTCCCTTGCGAGCGTGGCCCCGGTGCCAAGGTCACCCAGCGGGGGCGCGGCGGGCGCGGGAGCCGCTCCGCGGGGCGCGGAGCCGGCAGCGCGCTCGGTCCCTCCGCCGGGCCTGCCGCCGCGGCTCCCGCTGACGTCAGCCGCCGGAGCCGGCAGCTATTTTGGGAACTGCAAAGTCACTGGCGCAATTAGTCGGCTGGCAAAGGCAGCGGGGGGACCGCGGGCACGGCTGCTCCCCACGCCGCGCCGTGCCGCGCCGTGCCGGGGGATGCGCGGGCACCGCCAGCTTCCCTGCACCCGCAGGGTCCTTCCACCAGGACAAACAGCCCCGGCTGCAAATCCTCCCATCCATCATTGCCTTCTCTCTGCCTTTCTTTTACCTATTTTCTTTCTTTTTTTTTTTTTTTTTTTTTTTTTTTTTTTTTTTTTTT